TGGTCCTGGCTCTATTGTCGAGATAGATGAGAGCAAATTTGGGAGAAAAAAATACCATCGAGGACACCGTGTTGAAGGTCAGTGGGTATTTGGCGGATATGAACGCGGGACGGGTCACGTCTTCATGGAGATTGTGGAAAATAGAAAGGCAGATACCCTGATTCCATTAATTGAAAAGTGGATACTTCCCGGTACCACCATTATTCCAAATTATTGAAAACCATATGATTGTTTGGAAAGACACGGGTATGTACACTTGATTTACTTTAAGAAATCATTCGATTAATTTTAAGGACCCGGAAACTGGCGCGCACACCAACGCCATCGAATCCACCTGGCATCATGCGAAGAGTAGTATGTCAATATCTGGCCGTACTAAAAGTAATCTCCCAGGGAAAGCTTTTTTCAGGGAAAGCACCCTATTCCGCTTTTTTTATTAGTAACGCCATTTTTGAGTCATTTCATATCGATTAAAACAAAATCATCGATTTTTAAGACACAATGCTATTCTTTAATTATTCCTTTTTTCAAAAGAAAATGTTTCCTTGGTGTTACCGTTCATCGGATCAATAATAATTTAGAACGGCATTCAACTGCACTGTCTTGCTGCAGATTTAAAGGTTAGTAATGATAATGATTTTTATTTATTTCAGTATTCATCCATCTAATTTTTAGGAGTGCATTCATTTAATAGTGTTGCTGAAGCATTGGATAAAATTAACACAACAAATTTAACTTAAATTATAAAAATATTGTCAGTACAGTTACTGATAATGGTAGCAATTTTGTAAAAGCTTTCAAGGAATTTGGCTATACACCTCAAGCTCACGATACGGGTACATTAAATAGTTGTTCTTTTGCGAAGTAAATTGACCAAACTTTTTAGGTAATGATAGTGAAGATGATGAAACCATCCAGTTCGGCAGCATTACTGAATCTGATGGGAATGATGGAGAAAATACTATACTTCTTCATCGCCATGTTCGTTGTGCTAGCCATACCCTCAATCTGATAGCAACGACAAATATTAAAAATGTTCTACAAAAGCATGCATTATTAAGAAACAGAAATATATGAAATACCGTTTACTATTTTTAAATAGCCGTTTTCGATTACTGTTAAGACTAGAATGTGATGCGGCTATTATTGCAGCTGTATCACATCCTAGACTTAAACTGCGATGGCTTTCAGGGGTTGAACACCAAAATATAGAAGAAGAAGACAATAAAATAAAAATTAAAATTCTTAATTTAATCCAGGAGGAGAACCTGGAACCTGGAAACGAATTTGAAAAAACCAAAACTAATAAGAATAGCCAAGGGTATTGTGAAATACAATTATTAAATTATCTTCAGGATAAGAGATGCGACTTACAGATGTTAAATGATTATCCAGCTATAAAGAAGATATTTTTAAAATACAATATTTCCTTTGCCTTCTTCTGCGGCAGTCGAGCGCTTATTCTCTTTTGCCGGTATGATTAATACACCTCGTCGACATAGCATTTCAGATCATAATTTCGAAATGTTAGTGTTATTAAAAGGAAACAAAAATTACCAATAACACAGGAGCAAGAATTAAATTTGGGCCAACAGAATCAAAACTTGATTAATATAAAAAAACCAGGTTCTTTAATTTATTTATAATGTACGACCCAACCCTACCCAAGTAATAAAATGAAACCATGGAAATATGAGGAACAGATGTCGTTCCTTCTGGACTCCACGACCGTAAGTGTAATTTAACATTCCATAAGCTTCCAGTTGTGAACGGAGGTATTACGTAATATTCCTTTTCTGTTGCAGAAGTGAATCTAATGTCGGTGTTGATCATAGCCAACACAAAACCAACTCGATAAGTATAGATGGAGATGAGATTGAAAATGAGACCGAAGGAAAACAACCAGGATCCGCAGCGCAAACCATCATAAAGAATTGCATTAAGAAATATACGAATGATATCCAGAACTGTAAAAAAAGAAAAGACGTAAATATCGATGGTGTTCTCTCATATCTTCGTGATAAAGATAAGAACAAGAAACCTCTAGAAGAAGAATTTAATCATGACATCGATTATAACAATGTGTCTCTCCTACACAACTGTAAGAAGGGTAAAAAATTAGACCTTTTAGAACAACTCCAGATAGATAAACACAAACATAAAAATCTAGAATTAATGAATGATCAGCTTTGCTCCATTTACAAACCTTTATACTCACACTTAAAATTCTAGTTTTTAATAACAGGTGGGGCAAAAGTAATGTCATAATGTGAATGTATCATAATTATTGCAAATGGCGTCAAATATCATTGTGTTTTGACATTTATGTTGTAGACAGATAGAGAATTAGTTGACAATAAGCAATGGAGCGATACACGCTCGAAGAACGCGGAAATATTGTTACTGCTTATTGTTGCAATATTGCAATATTGTTTGGCTGAGCGTCTCGTGCAAACTGGGTCCACTAGAGATGCTGCAAGAAGTGGCCGGCCCCGTAATGCTCGTTCGGTTGAGAATATCGCTGCGTTGGCCGAGGACGTCCGAGAGAGTCCACAAACATCGACGAGACCACGATGCACACAATTCGGTATCAGCAGACGTTCGTTGCGTCGAATTTTGGTGAAAGACCTGAAGTTGTTTCCGTATAAAGTCCAAACCGTTCACCAATTGCTGCATGCTGACCGTCAAGTGAGGTTAACTTACTCCCATGCTCTGAACGATGCTCTGCTTAAACCTGGTGCAAGAAGACGATGATTTCGTATCCAAAATCATAATGAGCGACGAAGCCCATTTCCACTTAAGCGGTTATGTGAACAAACAAAATATGCGTTTCTGGGGTACGGAGAATCCACATGAAATGCACTGTGGTATCGTTGAAGGGTTTTAGGTTTTTTGAATAAAAGAGTTTCTTCCCAACTACATGTTAATGTATTTTACCCAAAGGTTCGTACAATTCTGATGATTACAAAAGCGTAATCAATTTTAAAGTAGTACAGCAATAATGCTTACCACGGTAATACGGTTCAACGGACGATGACCTGATACTTATTAATTAAGTTGCTGAGCCTACATTTTATAGTTAAACGTCTTGTAATTTACTTAAACAATAATGAATTTGGATACACTACAGCACGAAGAGCCATTGCATCCCCTCAAAGTGACTGTTTGGTGCAGCATATGCAGTGATAAAGTGATTGGCCCTTATTTTTTTTTAGGACGGCGACGGCACCACCGTAACCGTAACTGGTGAGCGTTACAAACACATGTTAAACAATTTTTTTTTGCCGCAAATCGCTGAATTGGGTCTCGAGCATTGTTGGTTCCAACAGGATGGAGCAACCGCTCACACAACTCGGGCAACAATGATGATTTTGAAACGCCAATTTCCGGGTCGTATGATCTCCCGTTTTGGCGATTTGAACTGGCCGGCCAAATCGCCAGATCTGACGGCGCATGATTTCTTTCTTTGGGGCTTTTTGAAATCTCGCGTTTACCGCAACAAACCACAAACCCTGCAACTCTTGAAAGCTAACATTAAAGAAGAAATCGCCAATTTGGAGCCTGATATTTTGCGAGCAACAATTTTAAATGCCGTAAAACGAGCAAAAATGTGTATTAACTCAGGAGGGGGTCATTTGACCGATATAATTTTTTCAAGTTAATATAACAAATTTTACACTTTTAAATAGACGTTCCGTGAAAACAGAGCCCTATTTTTTTCATTTCTAACAAAATGGCAGCCAATTCACATTATGACATTACTTTTGCCCCACCTTGTATATCCGTGAAACTTGTTTTATTCTTTTGTGATTACTCCATTTTAACCTGTAGTATTGTTCAGTGTCGTCCACTTTACATCTTTATTTCTCGTTATTTTAGTTTTTAAATCATTCTATATTGTGACTTTTATTATTTATTTGACTGTAAGTTCACTTATTTTATTTATTTATTTCTATATGCCTTTATTATAATTTCGCTTGTAGATTTAGCTGATGATGATAAGTAATTATCGAAACCGGTACTAAGTATATTTATTAGAAAACTGAGAAAGAGCTCTTTTAATTTTTACCTTATTTTAAATCATACACCTCAGTGATTATGGATTTACTAGAACCTCTAGAAGAGTTGGATTATTTCTTTGCTAGCGTATGTGAAACCACGAAACGACTTCCAAGACTTATGCAACTAAGAGTAAAGGCGGATGTGATGAAGGTCATTACAAACGCGGAAACAGAGTACCTAAATCAACAACTTCCAATAGCGTGGAGTTACATTCTCATACTCCGTCACCTGGTTATGTTTCAAGTACTTCACCTACTAAAAATTGTGTAAAAGTGCTAAGTGTAAAGTACATTTACATAGAGTGACACAGAAAAGTATACATACATCCCCGTAACACACCGTTTTGAGTAATTTATCAAAATTAGAAGTATGAAACGTTTATTAAATGAATTAGTATTAAGTATAATACTTGAAATTGAAGAATTAACTGCGTGTTGAACAACATTTATTAACAATAATAACCAATATTAATTTTTTAAACACAGAAAAGTATACATACGGCTAGATTTTAACTTTTGTAAGTTGGCATTCATCTAAGGTCCCGTTCACATGACAATGATCTGACGCGCGTTTTTTAAGCGCGCGCTTTGATATCCAATCAGCACGTCAGATTCTGACGCGCGTTAACGCGCGTTCATATGAACGGTTGTATATAAATACATTGGATATCAAAGCGCGCGCTTAAAAAACGCGCGTCAGATCATTGTCACGTGAACGGGGCCTAAACAGAGCTGTTAAACCATGCACCAGTCACTCGTATTAATGAAGTAGGGAACATACGTTTAATTCTGGATACTGTCACTTATAGATAGATAAATACAATAAAATTAAAAGGAAGTCTTTGGTATTCATTTAAAGACTTTTTAATAAACCCTGTACCAAATAATTACTTAATACCTAGTCATGTTTTTTCGATGTTTTCTTTTTTGGAAAACATTGTAAACGACAAAATTTAATGTGTTTAAAATTTTGTACAGTTTGTAAAGTTTTGTCGCCAAGCAATGTTTTCGTAAAAAACATCAACAAAACTTTCAAATAACAAATTTAATTTATATTTCCCGCCTGCCAATGATTTCAGCACTGTAGGTGACAGTATCCGAAACTAATTGCGCATTTCAATCAAACGTTTATAGTTGCCTATCTATATAACAAATATATTATATCTAATCTATGTGTTAAACGTCTCGAGAGTTTATAAAATTTGATTTGTCAAATCTGTACATGTCTTATATTTGTGTTTTTATTATGAAACAAACACTTCCCTTAAAAATATGCGTGTTAAAAGTAGAAAAATGTGTTTAGAGGTGCGCCAATTAATTGTTAAACATCGAAATGATGGAAAAACGCTTCGAGAAATCGGAGAAATGGTTGGGCGCTCAAAAAGCAGTGTTCAAACAGTGTTGAGAAACTATAAAAACAATAATAGTTTAGAAAGTAAAGCAAGAAGCGGTAGACCTCCAAAAATAACTCCACGAATAAAACTATTCATATTAGAATAAATTAAACAAAATCCTAGAACCAACGCCGTGGAAGTAGCGAAGAGACTAGAATGCAACAATATAGTTTCCGTTCATTCCGAAACAGTTCGAAGTCTACTACGAAAAAATAGCGAAAACAATAGGAAAAAACGCATAGATTTTGGTAACAAATACCTACAGTGGCTCCAAACCAAACTCAGACAGTAGTGTAATAATGGGCGCGGTCAGCGGACACAGCAGCTGAGTAGCTGAGCCACATCAGGTTTCTGAACGGTATCGCTGGTTTACCGCTGAAACTCAGCGCTGGCCGTTTTTAACAGCGCTTTGGTTTGACTTTTAAATGAAAATGACAGAAAGTGGGTGAAGTCGTGAAGTGAGGTTAATATAATCCCACCTAGCCGTGGCCTAACTTTGACATTCATGCAACAAAATGGATGCTGAGGAAATAAGTAATGGTAAGTTTGTTCGTATTTAAATTATTTATAACAATAAGTATTTTACTATTGTATGAAATAACTAAATTGTATATTTTAACGGTAACATGCAACAGCCAACGTGGGTTTTCCACATCTTAACAGCATCTTAGATTTTATTTGAATTCTCTTATTTTACTCTAGATGATTTAACCTATTACCTTGTTGACACCCAAGATAAAAATACAGAAGAAAACAGGAGTATTAGTACTGTAGAAGAAGAAGGAAGGGGCGAACACTTCGATGTAGAAGTATATGAAGGTCTGTACAAAGTCTCATACAAGTATAACTATATATTCATGTATATAAATATGATTTGTGTAAATCTTGTAGATAAATTTATATGGACACATTCAGCAACAATGCTTTTCCCAAAATTAAAAAGAAGAAGTTGTGGGAAGAAATTCGAAGAGAAATGTTAAAGCAAGGATATAAATATATAATAATAATCTATAATAAATATAAATAAATATAAATGATAAATACAAATAAATATATATAATAATCCACAACCAAACGTTTATTACGATTTGTATCGACCATTTTTAGCAAACACGTATAATACGGGACTTAACTAATCTAATACTGTCACCCAAGACTCTAAACTGTCTTGGGTTGGGTTTTAATGTACATTTAATGCACGGGGACAAAAAATGCTGTGGTTGCTTGAACAAAGCTCTAATTCTAATAAAGAAGCAGACGTATATAATTATGACTGCGCAAAAAAAGCTTTAGAAAATGTTCAGAACGACGATCAAAAAGACAACGAAGATATTACACTGTTGGAAATAATTCACGAGCACACCCTGTATTATCTGAACGCGTGCGTCTAGCGCAATAAACTTTGGTATAGAAGTAGTACTAAAGTAGTGTAACTTACTCTCACTTGGAGAACGGCACAACTCTGCTGGGAGAAGAAACGTCAATAGCGAGAGTATCCCCCATGAGCTTCGCGTACCATCGCTACACGACGTGGCATGGAGTCTATAAGTCGCTATATTATAGCGAGAGGGATGGCCAACCATGCCACCTCAACTCGCCTCCATAGCTCCTCAACGTTAGCCGAGGTAGCCGGGTAACGTAGAAGTCTCCGACCAGTCATGTCCCAAACATGTTCGATCGGATTCAGATGCGGAATCGGAGCTAGCCATGTAAGCATTCGTATACGGTGCTCTTCCACAAAGGTCTGTACAACACGCCCGATGTGCTGTCGTACCTTTATAGCAGACCTGGGAGCCGCCGAACGTAGGGAAGCACAACGGACCGTAGCACCTCATCTACGTATCGTTGACCCATCATGGTCTGCTATACACGCAGCAGACGTGTACGTCCACCATATGTAATCGCACCCCATACCATAATGCTCGGTTGTCGGTGGATAGGGCGTTCTTGCACACACTGCTCGAGTAGACGATCACCACGGCTCCGACGAACTAAAATTCGCGCATCACCGGTGCTCAATTCGAATCTTGATTCGTCGGAAAACAAAATGTCCCTCTACTCGGCAACCTACTAATGCCTAGCGTCGACCCACTCGTGACAGACAGTAGTGTAATAATGGGCGCGGTCAGCGGACACAGCTGATGTAAAAAAGCAGCTTTTGTGATGAGTATGATGATAAGCAGCATGTTTCTGGTCGCTGTACGGTATTTCTACACATCATGTTTTTGACATATTATGCATTAAATGTCTAAACTGTCTTGGGTTGGGTTTTAATGTACATTTAATGCACGGGGACAAAAAATGCTGTGGTTGCTTGAACAAAGTTCTAATTCTAATAAAGAAGCAGACGTATATAATTATGACTGCGCAAAAAAAGCTTTAGAAAATGTTCAGAACGACGATCAAAAAGACAACGAAGATATTACACTGTTGGAAATAATTCACGAGCACACCCTGTATTATCTGAACGCGTGCGTCTAGCGCAATAAAATTTGGTATGGAAGTAGTACTAAAGTAGTGTAACTTACTCTCACAAGGAGAGCGGCACAACTCTGCTGGGAGAAGAAACGTCAATAGCGAGAGTATCCCCCATGAGCTTCGCGTACCATCGCTACACGACGTGGCATGGAGTCTATAAGTCGCTATATTATAGCGAGAGGGATGGCCAACCATGCCACCTCAACTCGCCTCCATAGCTCCTCAACGTTAGCCGAGGTAGCCGGGTAACGTAGAAGTCTCCGACCAGTCATGTCCCAAACATGTTCGATCGGATTCAGATGCGGAATCGGAGCTAGCCATGTAAGCATTCGTATACGGTGCTCTTCCACAAAGGTCTGTACAACACGCCCGATGTGCTGTCGTACCTTGTCGTGCATGTATAGCAGACCTGGGAGCCGCCGAACGTAGGGAAGCACAACGGACCGTAGCACCTCATCTACGTATCGTTGACCCATCATGATCTGCTATACACGCAGCAGACGTGTACGTCCACCATGTGTAATAGCACCCCATACCATAATGCTCGGTTGTCGGTGGATAGGGCGTTCTTGCACACACTGCTCGAGTAGACGATCATCACGGCTCCGACAAAATGTAATGTCCCTCAAAATGTCCCTCTACTCGGCAACCTACTAATGCCTAGCGTCGACCCACTCGTGACGTATGCTGCGGTGCTCGGGTGTTACTGGAATCCGCTGTATCGCACGACGCGCGCGCCGGTCCACTATCTACCAAACGCCGCCGTACAGTTCGTGTAATGAGTGCGCCTTCCCCTGCCAGTGGCCAAACAGCTCCAAGTTGCCTTGAGGAGGACACACACGACGCTAACGCGCTGAGCACAAGAACGTGATCCTCGAGTGCTGGGGACGCGCAGGGCCGTCCCGGCCGCGGCTGTAGGTACCTATGTCCTACCTCAGACCATTCTCGTCATGCCCATTGCACTGCCGATAACGACCGCTCGAGACGACGCGCAATTTCACAGAACGATACACTCTCAATGTGCATACCCACAAACATTCCTCACTCAAACTCGCTAAAGTAACGCGATCGTCCATCCATTGCGCACAGAGTACGATAATAATGTGGTCCCTCACACCACACTAAAAACGACCGGTATTTTCCATCCACTTCGGTCTCCATAGCGACGGAATGTTCCACTTGGAATGGCGGCTCAGTCAACAATGCCGCGACGGAACAACTCGAAACTCCCTGAATAAACTCGTCTACAGTAAATCTTTGTGCTCCGCAAATATTATGGATTTATCTTCACGCGTTCAGATTATATAGGGTGTGCTCGTGAATTATTTCCAACAGTGTANTATCGAGATCGCGTCAACCGCCTAGCCGGCCTTACAGTAATTGAGCTACTATTTTCAATTTGTTGACTTACATACACGGACAGGTCTTCACTTTGTAAATCAGCTGGTGGAATGGCTTCAGTATCCATAATTTCTGATGATTGTAGGCTGGTCTGATTATGCAGGAGGTGCGGAGACATTGACGGATCATCGGGATTTTCCAGTATTTTTTGAAGCCGAGCGGTGCTGTACGGAGCTTCTTCCTCTTCGGCTTCCAGGTTATCGTCAGACACTTCTGGGTCATCAGGCAACCCAAAAAGCTCTTCAAGCGCATGCTCTATTTCGAATTCTGATAAACCTTTGTCTAAGCCACTTTTTGCACTCATCTGCCAAAGCAAAGCAAAAAATATAGCAGCCACTCGCAGGCAGAGGGAATATGCTTCCCACCACAAAAAGCAATTTATTTGAAAAACCAGGATACCCAAAGATAAAAATATGTGTCAAAATACTTAGGACAAATCCAATATAACATGTAAATAATAAAACTTACCTCAAAATCTCGAAGATCTACAAAATAGACCGTTATACAAAATTTGGTACGAAAAAACACTATTTTTGAACATTCAACAGGTGACAGCAAAAAAACAATGTTATGACAGTTATGCATTTCTTCACGTCATATTATTGACAGATCACTAAATAAGTTGCCAACTTACAAAAGAAAATTAAATTTGATTATTTTCTTATAAAAAACTTAAAAAAATTATGGTGGTAAAAATATCACCTCTGCCCTAAAAAGGGTTAATCAATCTTAACAAATTTGATAGACAGTGGTGGCACACAATTAAAGTAAAAGTCACTACATGCGCTTTTACTTTCAATACCAACTTGACGACACTTTGACAATTGATTTAAATAAAAAACAGATTATATGTTCTCTAGTAAATTGGTTTTTAAAATGTTTAAATCCGCATGTTGGTCCATTATTCCCTCAATAAAATGCAAACAGCCTGGTCTAGCAGCTGAAAATGATCCCCACACCATCACCGATCCGCCACCATGTTTTACCGTTGGTTTTAAATTTTTTAAATGCAGCTCTTCATTTTTTCTTCTCCATACATATGGCTTACCATCTGACAAATATGTTGAATTTACTTTCATCAGTAAATAGAACGGTTTTCCAAAAAGAAAAATCTTTATTTTCGTGCTCTCTCGCAAATGTTAATCTGATGTTTTGATTCTTTTTACTGATTAACGGTTTTTTTCTCGCCTTTCTACCATGTAAATTAGCATTATGTAGCATGTTTCTAATGGTTGACGCACTAGCTTTTTTCCCTAATTCATTCTCAGCAATAATAGCCAACTTTGGTGCACTAAGAAACGGATTCTCTTTATTTTTTCTTATTAAATACCGTTCATCCGATTCAGTAAAAATTTTATTATGAGCGCTCTTTAGCTTGTTTGCTACCCGATTGTGAATACTGAAGCGCTTTATTATGTCGTGCACCGTAGAATGGCTTCTGTGTATAATTTTTGCTATTTCCCGTACCGATTTTCCATCCTGGGAATGTTTAAGCACTAATTTTCTAATTTCAATAGTTGTTTGTCCTCTTTGTCTAGATATTTCGAATATAAAACCCAATTATCACGCGAATAATACTAAAAAGTCAATTAGGGAATTTCCCTTGTCAACTGTCAAAACTTCAACATGAAGTTAGCTGTAATTTTTACTCATGGCTGCCTTAATTTAGTACTTTAGTTGGTCATTGTCCGAGTTTGGCTTGTTCCGAATTTTTGTACTGTTTTCGATTTTTTTCTATTTATTTGTTATAAACAATGAATTTATGTAGTTTTGCGTTTAGTTTATAAAAATGCATTAAATAAACTATTGAAAATCAATTTACTTTTTTTTCTACCTGCCTTAGTTCGAATATTTTTAATACAATAGCATTGGGCGCGGTCAGCGGACACAGCTGATGTAAAAAAGCAGCTTTTGTGATGAGTATGATGATAAGCAGCATGTTTCTGGTCGCTGTACGGTATTTCTACACATCATGTTTTTGATATATCGTCGTTGTCATTTTAATATCTTCTATGTGCAAAACAGATTGTTTTGAGTAAATTAACAAAAA